CCTACCCCACCCTCATTCACCCCACCCTGGGCCCATGAGCAAGGCCCTTAACCCCCATCATCTGCTCCCTAAACAGGTCTCTCTTGAAAATGAGTTCTCGTGGCTCAATGAGACTAACCTGGATAAATAAAGGCTAAATGAAAAAAAAAAATGAAAAAAAAAAAAAAAAATTTAACTGACCTCGTCTTTTCTCAGTTGTACTGGTTCTCGCCTGCTGCTGAAGGTGACCTGGTGATAATAATATAGGTCTGTTTGAGTGTTCTCTGTATTGTTAGCAAAATATCTTAGGAAGGAGTGGCTCGGTTTGACTGAAACTCCCAGAAAATCATCACACCTACAGCTGATTTGGAGTCAGCTCTTTTCAAGATGGCCACCACAGCCAACTGACCTATAAATGTCTACTACTCTGTCAGCTTTAGAGAAACTGGGCTAACAGTCAAAAATCATCTTCAACCCATATCCTAAAGCTAAAACATCTCGCGAGATCTCGCGATATTTCTCAACATCGCTTCTAATGATGGTTTCTGTTTAAAACGTTGGCACAAAAGGTGGCGGGCGACACGTATTCCCCTCAAAGAATATCAACTTAAAGAATTCAAAGACAAACCCTGATCTCACTGTGTTTGAATTCAAACATTTAGTTTGTTTTAAACGTAATGAAATGATTTGTCTGGAATAAAATTGATTTTTTTAAACCCTAAGGTTTACAGGAAAACATATTTCTACTAACAACCAAAGAGAGTGATGAGTCCATCTGTCTAATACACAAAACTAGCTCCTAATTACTGACAGTCTGGCCGCCTGTCGCGCGCTCTGACGCGTGCGTCACATGGAGAGGTGCGGTTTGCGCAGCGCAACTCTCCCCACACACAGTCCATAATGATGCACGGGGAGGCTGAGGTCTCTCTGAACAAGCTCTCCTTTGGATTCTTTAACTTTTTATCATTTTGGGTATAGTTCTCTGGAGGGACGGGCCGCGCGCACAGCACCTCCTGACGCGCGGACCGCTCAGACCCAGAAACCCAGGGACTCTTCGGCGGCTCGCACGAGGCGCAGCTGGAACATCACTGGCCAGTGACCGACAGCTGGTTCCACACATCCAAATATGCGCGTAACTGGAGCGCGCTGGCGAGGCGTCCCTCCTTGCACCCGCGTCGGGAAAACCTCCATGTCGTGATGTTCAATAGCTCGGGGATCGAGCCCACTTTAAACAAGAAGGAGGATCTCGTTTCTGAAGTTCTCAATGGCACTTTGCAGCTGTACAACAGCGTGCTCGTCCCCACGAGTCCCACGGCCGCGTGGAACGAGTCGTGCGGGGAGCAGCTGCTGGACTTTGGGCGGCCGGAGAAGATCATCATCGGGGTGATGCTGGCGGTCATCACGGCGGTGACCGTGATGGGAAACACGCTGGTGGTGATCGCCGTGTGCGTGGTGAAGAAACTTCGGCAGCCTTCCAACTACCTGCTGGTGTCCCTGGCCGTGGCCGACCTGTCCGTGGCCATAGTTGTGATGCCCTTCGTGATTGTGACGGACCTCACCGGGGGCAAGTGGCTGTTCGGGGACTTGTTCTGCAACATCTTCATCGGCATGGATGTAATGTGCTGCACCGCCTCCATCATGACCCTGTGCGTGATCAGCGTGGACAGGTGAGGGCTTTCTGCTTTTGTTATTACCAAAGAATTTAGGTTTTACGCACGAGGCGCGTCGTGCGTTAAACAGACAGGAGACGTCACTAAACCTTTCAGAGCACTGGGAGAATGATGCAATGAGCTGTAAGTTCACCACAAAGAATACAATAAAGACTAAATCCAGATCCCAGATTAATCGTCCTGTGATTATCTGCAGAAACCAAAAAAATCATTCAGACTGAAAATAAAGCTGACCTGTGACCCTGACCTCACATCTGTGCATGACCCTGACCTCACATCTGTGC